TTGTTGTTATGTTTGTGCTTGAAGCCCCTCAAAACTTCCCCCTTCTTCCCGTTTTCTCTTTCACATATTCAAGTTCAACACTGGAAAGATGGCGGCCCTTAAACTTTTTTCGCTCGCCTCCGCGTCTGCGTTCCTGATGGCGAACGCTGTCCATCAAACCGAGAAGCAAACACCATTGAACGCGAGAGTACAATCGTCAACCTACACTGTAAATCTGGGTATGTGGGCAAATACTTGTTTGATGGGGAGGATTTCAGCCTTGTGTTGGTCAAAAGTAAATGCATTGGAGGCGATGAGTTGTGCTGGTTGTTCAGTGGAGCTTGGAAGCGAAGAAGTCCTTCCAGGGGACTTCAATGAATGGCTCCAAACCAGTTTTGCAAGTATCACTGTTTGTACATTTGGGCTTAGGATGTCTGCATCGGTTGCTTTTATGCAGGGGAAGATCCTGTGTGCCTCGACGAAATCAACGCTGCTCGCGAAGCCGCTGGACTGGCACACTTCAAAGTGGCAACACAGGAAGAACACAAGTTGCCTAAAACTGAGCCAGACCTAGAAGAAGGGGAAAGTACTACATGGAATCCCGTTTGTGAAGCTCTGATAGCAGTAAGTGTCTTCCCTTATGGCCTCAGAACTTCGACCAGATATTCTATATTTCATGCGGTCTCACTCTTTCTTCAGTGCTTCTCTCATTTCAGGAGAGCCCAGAAGAACCAGAAGGAAGCACGGAAGGGTTTAAAAGTGGTACATACGCCTTCATGGCCTTGGAATCGGAGACGCCTGACTGCGCCGCCGCAGTGAGCCACTGGAAAGACGCCGCCAGCAACTTCACTACAATCCCTCCAGCGAAGAATAACGAAACGGAACTCTACGGCAAACAACATAACGTTTCCTTCATTGCTATGTACAACCCTTCAAACGATGCCGCCGCTGACTGCCGAGTCGTTACATGCACTCAACCTGCAACTTCCAGCCCCGGAGCAGCCAACTTCCGGAACACTGAGAAAGAGAAGAAAGGCTATGCTCTACTGTGCATGACCACACCTGATGCACTTAACGAGGATGCAGGTCCCTTCACGTAAGTTGGCAATCAATTTTTGCAGAACGACAGCTGGCTACAGAGCTGGGCTTGTGGATGCGAATACAGTGTTGTGTGTTGTTCATCTGTTGGCGAATTGTGCTCAGCGAAGACCAGTGGAAGAAGATCAAGGCATCCCTCACAGGCTCAGCCACTACTGTTGCACCGAGTCTGCTTGCCGTTGCTATTGCGGTCCTTGGCTTGGTTACCCTTTAAAGCAGTGATATCTCCGTGGCACCCGACTGGTGCAGATACTATTCAACCAGTGCCGCGCTCCGCAGTGTCTTATTTACATTTTCCTTCTTTCAGAACAGACACTCTGACTGGCGTGTACAGCTTAAGCAGATCTTTGCTTCTCGCTGCATCCACAGGACTGCGGCCATCGAAAGCTTCCAACACACGCCCTATATGCTCTTGCTTGTGCCTACGGGATTTGCGCTGCATGCGCCGCTAGTTAAGAGCCTTCGCAGCCTTTTTTATTTCTATGGGCAACAAATGCTTGATTGCCTCGGGTGCTTCTGTGGCACTGTCATGAGTCTTAGGTACTTCTTCCTTTTTACTGGTTTCATCGACCGGAATTATCACTCTCAGGCCATCCATACAGCCACCTTGTGCACCGGTGCTTGCTTGCGCAGATGTTTTCGCACATTTGTGCAAGCATACCGCCCTGCCCTACATGCGTCCGCGTTGCAGTAAGTCTAGGGACCGGCCGCATTTCGCACTTTTTAGGCTGACGAAATACAGAGGGGAAGCTGAGGAGTTTGATAGGAGTGTTGCTGCCTTTAGCATTTTCCCTTTCTATATTCGGGCGCATAAGCCTTAAGAGCATCGACGCAGGGCAACTCCCGTCGATGAAGGGGCACCATACAACACCCTGGTCACGGCCAAGAGAGGGGCGAGCCACAGTCTCGAGGCAATTTATACTAATAAAATTCATACATGGCTCACGTGTCTTATAATGAATTGGTACATTGACAGGACAACATTAGTCGAGCACGAGGGACCTCGGCTCTCAGTATCACCGATTCAGCCACAATGCCATGGATTTTCCGTTGGCGCTTCACGTCGCGTTCGGCGGCGGTAGGGGGCCCTGTGTAGACAATAATTATTGAAATACCTCATTGAAGTATTTTTAACAACGCTAGTGTTGGAAACTCAACTCCAGCACATAAACACAACGACTCCACGCCGGGCCGGATGGGCCAGCCGTAGTCCGCTCCCTCGCCACCTCCTCCTGCACACACACTGCATAGCATATTGTTACGTCTGTTCTTGAAGCCCCTCAAAGCTTTCCCCATTCCTCCTGTTTTCATTTGCACACATTCAGCTTCAGCACTGAAAACATGGCGGCCCTTAAACTTTTTTCGCTCGCCTCTGCGTCTGCGTTCTTGATGGCGAACGCTGTCCATCAAACGGCAAAGCAAACTTCATTGACAGCGCAGGGATCATCCCCAACCTACACTGTAGATCTCGGTATGCCGGCAAATACTTGTTTGGTGGGGAGGGTTTCAGCCTTGTGGTGGTCCAAAGTAAATGCGTTGGCGGCGGTGAGTTGTGCTGTAGGTTCAGTGGCGCTTGGAACGGAAGAAGTCCTCCAACGGGCAACAAATGGTTCCAACCCACTTTTGAAAGTATCCGTCTTCGTACATTTTTGCTTAGGATGCATGCATCGTTCGTTGTTCTGCAGGGGAGACTGAAGGGCATTGAATTGCTCCAACCCACGTTTGCAAGTATCAATACTTGTTAAATTTGGGCTTATGGTGTGTGCTTTGTGCATCGTTTCTGCAGAGGATGCTAATGTGTGCCTCGAAGAAATCAACACTGCACGCCAAGCCGCTGGACTCGAACGCTTCAAAGAGCCCAGCGGAGACCTAACGTGGCCTCAAACTAGCGTGGCGAAAGTGGAACAGCCAAGTACCGCCTGGAATCCTGTTTGTGAAGCTCTGATAGCAGTGAGTGTCCTTCGTTGCGGCGTGCGTCCTCCGTCCTCCTATCTCTACTTCATTTTGTCTCACTTCGTCATCCGTGCATTTTTCATTTCAGGAAGACGCAGAAGAAGAGGCAAGTAACACAGATGGAAACGAGTTTACAAGTGGCACGTACGCCTTCATGGCCTTGGAATCGGAGACGCCCGACTGCGCCGCCGCCGTGAGCCACTGGAAGGACGCCGTCAACAACTTCACTGCAATCCCTCCGGCGAAGAATAACGAAACGAAACTCTACGAGAAACAGCAGAACGTTTCCCTTATCGCTCTGTACAACCCTTCCGACGATGCCGCTGCTGACTGCCGGGTTGTGACCTGCACACTACCAACAGGTTCCCAACCGTCAACGTCCAACATGCGGAGTGCTGAGAAAGAGAAGAAAGGCTACGCTCTACTGTGCATGACCACACCTGATGCACTTAAAGGCGAGGATGCTCCCTTCGAGTAAGTTGGCAACCATTTCCTGCAAAGCAATAGCTGTGCACAGGGCTGGGCATGTCGATGCGAATTCAGTGTTGTGTGTTGTTCATCTGTTGGCGAATTGCGCGCAGCGAAGAGCAGTGGAAGAAGATCAAGGCATCAATCACAGGTTCAGCCTCTGCTGTTGCCCCGAGTCTGCTTGCCGTCGCTATTGCGGCCGTTGGCTTGGTTGCCCTTTGAAGCAGTGATCTCTCCGTGGCACCTGGCTGCTGCCTATACTATTCAACCAAAGCAGCGCTCCGCAGCGTCCTATTTATATTTTCCTATCCTCAGAACAGACACTCTGACTTGCGTGTACAGCTTAAGCAGGTGTTTGCCTTCCGCTGCATTCATAGGATTGCGGCTATCGGAAGTTTTCAAGACGCACCCTATATACTCCTGCTTGCGGCTGTCGGATATGCGCTGCGTGCGCCACTAGTTAACAGGCCTTCTCACCCTTTTCACTTCAATGGGCAGCAGATGCTTGCTTGCCTCGGCTGCTTCTGTTGCGAG